TTCGGGTTTAGGGTTTAGGGTTGAGGGTTGAGGGTTTAAGGTTTAAGGTTTAGGGTTCAGGAAAACAGTCTGAAACCCCAAAGTAGCTTCGCCCGAAAGCTCCCAGGTCATGGTCATGGACGGCCAGTCGACGGAACCCGTCCCGCCGCCCGGGGCCCCAGGGAACCCTAAACCCTAAACCCTAAACCCTAAACCCTGAACCCTAAACCCTAAACCCTAAACCCTAAACCCTAAACCCTAAACCCTAAACCCTAAACCCTGAATCCTAAACCCCAAAAACCCTAAGCCTTGAACCCCAAACCCTGACCCAGGACCCCAAGAAGCGGCTAACGAGGCGATGATGAGGGTTACTACAATTTGTACATTAACAGTGTGATGAGGCCTTGGTAGCCCAGTGGTACCCTTTACTTTTTTTTGGATTTATTGTTTCCAATAAAAAATAACCAACCCCAACCCTAAACCCTAAACCCTAAACCCTAAACCCTAAACCCTAAACCCTAAACCCTAAACCCTAAACCCCAAAAAGGGTGCCCTTATCATAATATGGTTACTGGGCTACCACGGGGCTCTCTGGCTAATCCTACTTTGGGGCATCGGCCTTCGGGTTTCGGCTCAGGGTGTGGGGGGGATCTTTGTACTTGCGGGTTGCTTCAGGTTTCGGGTTTCGGGTTTCGGGTTTAGGGTTTAGGGTTTAGGGTTTAGGGTTTGGGATTTTTCAGGCTCAGGGTTCAGGGTTTTCGGGTTTAGGACCCTTCAACCCCAACGATTAGGCTAAGGTTCTACAACCCTTCTCAAGAAGCAGTTGAGCTTTTGGGGCTTAGGGTTTAGGGCTTAGGGGCTTCGGGGCCCTTCAACCCCGGCGCAACCTGAACCTTAGAATACCCAGATGACACAGCCTGAGCCCTGGAAGGAACCCTAAACTAACCCGAAACCCCTAAACCCGAAACCCTACGCAGGGTTATAGGGTTCTCAACAGTCTTTGTACGCAGGGTTATAGGGTTCTCAAGAGTCTTTGTACGCAGGGTTATAGGGTTCTCAAGAGTCTTTGACCTGCTTGTGGTACGCTTTCTGGTCCTTGAGGCCGGCCTTCTTGGCATACATCGAGAGAGGAGGCAGGAGTTTAGGGTCTCTGGAACTCTGGAACGTAGACTTACGGGTTGGGGTTAGGGGGGGGGTGGGGAGCGGGGTTGAGGGTTCAAGGTTTCGCGGGTTTCCTGCGGTTCGGGCGTTTTTGGTGGTTTAGGGTTGACACGTTAGGAGGTAGGGCATTTCTTCGCGGGCTGCTATGCGACTTGCGACTCCTGCAGAGGTGGCTCTACGCACTAAAGCCCCAACAGCGCGACACTCCATGTCGGAGTGTAAGATTTAGGTTTTAGGATCCAGATGTCAGGATTCAGGGCTTAGGTTGTATGGGTTTAGGGTTTAGGGTTTCAGGTTTAGGGTTTAGGGTTTAGGGTCTAGGGAAACTGAACTTCGCAGGCCATCAAGTCCTCGACTTCTCGCGCTTCTTCCCCACCACGTACACGCCACCACAGCGGAACGGGACCGGCGCAGAGGCAGCCTGGGGAGGATAGGGCTGTATAGGTTCCTTAGGAATTCTGCTCTTCATTTTTTGTATATATATATATATGGACACACCCCCCCCCATGACCTACCCAGATCTGTTTCCCTCGTAAATACCGTTTAAAACCCGCTCGTGCCCTATGCCGTTTTTTGCTACTCTCAGTGGCTGTCTCTCGACAAAACAGACCCCACACGGATTAAAGATGGTTTTGGAGCCAAAAACCAACTTTGTCCTCGCAAAAAGATGGTTTTCCTGAGGCAGACCAGGTCAAAACCATCTTTTTACGAGGGCAAAGATGGTTGTTCTATGAAAAGCCATCTTTTTGCGAGGTAAAACCAAAAACACCATCTTTTTCAACATCCCCTCCCCATTCTCTAAAAAAGATGTTTTTTTTTGGTTTTTTGGTTTTGCCTCGTACCTCTCTCGGGCCAGAACCGTTCAGCTCTACATGTCGCTGTCCAGTGGACGGTTTTGGTTCGAAGCAGGACGTGTCAGCATGCTTGGAGGCTCGTTGGTTTTGGTCAGTCTTATAAAAATCTCAGCAATAGCATTCCTATTCCTATTAATGTAAAAGGGTTCCTAACCATCTTTATGGGACTTCTTTTCATTTTACTTCAATTCTTATGAACTTTCAGAGGTTTCTTGTTCAACATCAGAGGATTCCTCATACTTTTCAATAGGGTTCTAATGCATTTCAACAAGGTTCTTCATCATTATAAAGTGGTTCTTTTAATTCCAATAGGGTTCCTCTGACATTAAAAATCTTTTTTAAGGTTCATATTGGTGCCCATTCATCTTAGTGCGTCTCCAAGTAATTCTAATGGTATTCTTAGAAATTTGAATAGCACTCCTAATCCTATTAATTCTAATCGGAATCACATTAAGTCTAACAGGAAGCCCAGAAATCACATTGAATTTTGTAGGATTCCTATTGGTTCCTATTGATTTTAGTAGGATTCCTTTTCATTTTAAACGGATTCGTATCAACTCGTAATAGGGTTCTTATGAATTTTACTGGGGTTCCTAATAAATTCCGATTAACGTCAAAGGCTTCCTAACCATCTTAATAGGACTCCTCTACCATTTCATAATATTCTTATGAATTTTCATATTTATGTTTATAGGATTCCTATTGGTTCCTATTAATTTTAATAGGATTTCTCTTCATTTTCAAAGGGTTCCTATTAATTTGCAATAGGGTTCTTATGATTTTTAGTGGTGTTGCTTATAAATTCCTATTGATGGTAGGACCCTCTTCATTTAACAGATTCCTCTTAATTTGTAAAAGGGTTCTTATGAATTTTAGTGGGGTTCCTCATAAATTGAATAGGATTCTAATTCATCACAACAAGAATATGAGAAATATTTAGAGGATTCCTATTTAGATTTAATGGAATTTCCACATTCCCGTGAATTCAAAAAGGGTCCCTTTTCATTTTCACAGGCTCCCTACTATTTTTCATGGGGGCCCTATTATTTTTCTACATTTTAATAGCATTCCATGACGTTTGATAGAGAGTTCCCTTTGACTCAACTATGATTCCAAGTCATTATTCCTAATAATTCAATACGATTCCTATTAATTTCAGTAAGAGACTTATTAATTTTAATAGGGTTCGTATTAATTTTCATAGGGTTTTCGTTCAATTAATAGGGTTCTTATTAAATGCATACCTATGACTAAGTATGGATTTCTTCCTCCGACATGGCCTCACGGTAGGTCATAGGGGGGGGGGGTCTGAGCATATATATATATATATATACATACATATATAAAGGCATACAAACTCCGGGGAGTATTCAAGATATTCCCAGGAAAATTTTCGAGGTTCATAAACCCTAACCTAAACCCTTAACCCTAAATGATCTTTACTATGTTTCTCAGGGAACTCTACAGGAGTTGCTTCTGCCTAGGAAGACCCGATGCCCAGGGGCTCTTAAGGTTCCCTGTTTGTCCCCACATCCCTGAGGCACAAGCTTTGAAAATGCTTAAACCCTAAACCCTAAACCCTAAACCCTAAACCCTAAACCCTAAACCCTAAACCCTAAACCCTAAACCCTAAACCCTAAAACCCTAAACCCAACACCCGATACCCTAAACCCTAAACCCTAAACGCCAAACCCTAAACCCTAAACCCTAAAACCCTAAACCCCCCCACAGGCGAATTTAGAGTTTGAGGGGCTCGAGGGCTTGAGGACTTCGGCGCGCTTCGCTTTTCAGGGCTCGTTTTGGGAGGCACAGCTCCAAAAAACCCCTAAACTGGATAAGGGCGAAGCCCTAGAAACCCTCAACCCCCAAACCCTGCAAGCCCTCAACAGAAAGAATCCCTATATGTACCCCCAAACCCTAGAAGCCCCAAAACAGAAAGCACCCCTATATGAATCCCCAGACCCTGTAAGCCCTAAACAGAAAGAGCACCCCTACACAAACTCCCAAACCCTATAAGCCCTAAACAGAAAGCACCCCTATATGAATGCCCCATCCCTATAAGCCCTAAACAGAAAGCACCGCACTCTGCCAGTTTCTTCCACCCTCAGGCAGATGGCCCATTGCCGCAGCAGCTGCGCTCGCGCTTTTGGTTTTCGTTCGCCGGGCTCCAAGTCGATGATTTGCAGGTTTTGGTTTTGGGGGTTTAGGGCTTCGGGTTGCCTTGAGATGTTTTTGGCTTCAGGGTTGCCAAGGGTTTCCGGGTGTTTTCGGAACCTAAAGCCCTCGGCAAGACATGGCAGTTACTGCGAGCTCCTCGACTCACCATCCGAATCCTCGCCTTCCGAAGCTGGGAACTTCATGGGCCATGTCCTAGAAGCTGGGTAGAAGGGTGGAGGAGCCCTAAACCCTAAACCCAAAACCCGGAACCCTAAACCCTATGAAGCCTGAAGTCGCCCAAGACGTGCGCATGCTTGTAGCTGATCCCCAGTCCCGGGAGCTGCACATTACTAGATGGCAACATCTTTTCAGTTCCTTAACAAGAGCCGAGATTTTTCCGCCGAGGATGTCACTGGTACCAGCCAGTCCGAGATCCAAGGAAATGTGCGTCAGGGCCCTACTACGGCCCCTGAGCTTGACGGTCCTGCAGGTGCACGTTTCGACAACGTTTTCTTATTCGTTCTTAATGGGTATTTTGGGAACGAGGTTCCTTATCATCCCCTACTATGTAGGGTACCTGGCTCCCGCATTCCCTGCTCAGAACCAGCAAGTGACCTCCAAAGCTCATTCAGAAGGCTAGTACAGGAGCCCAAGCAATTGCCAGTATTGTCCCCTTCTACATCGTGCAAGCTACCCTAGAAACACATTTTAATTTCATCCTTGAATCACTACAGCATAAACTCCCCTACATACCCATTCTATTTCAATGGGCCCAGAGTTTAGTGCGCGGGCCGGGCTGAAGCTTGACTCAAGATCATGTGCTAGGGCTCGGAATTCAGCGAACTCCACATGTTGCGGGATGCCATCAATAGGAACGGCCGTGTGCCGCAAGTGCGGCGCCCCGCCTGGGCGGAGCTTCTGGTGCTGGTGTTGGGTGCCTCAACAGTCTTGCTGCCAGCAGGCAGCTGCACACCCGGCGTCGGGTTCGCAGGGGACCGCATTGGAGGCTGCAACCCTTCTGCTTATGGAGTTTTACGATCCAGCAGAAGCTCGCGATCCGTGATCCTGCGCCATGTGCGGGAGAGACGCAGCGGATCTCCCTCGGGCAAACGCCCTTCCAATCCCAGGGTTCTCACTTCGAAGATCAAGAATACGACTTCGACCACGGAGCTGCTGGCTCTCGTTGACGGGAACCTGGATGGAAAAGGTTTCAACGAAATCCATATGTCCGCTACCTTCACTCAGGCAGCTTCTATCAAGAAAAGCGGCAAGCTGTCGGCGGGTGATGCTACAAGCTCCACATGGCCCAAACTAGCGGAGAAGTTGCGCGTCATGCTCGAGAAAGACATGATCCCACCACGTCAGGCTGCAAACGTTCTGTGGGCGCTTGTTGAGATTTATCAAGACCTCAGAGTAGACATGGCCATTGCAATACCGGCTCTTGCGTGTTGTGTGGAGGACAAAGCAGGAGGCATGAAACCTCAAGAACTTTCCAACAGTCTGTGGGCGGCCGCAAGTCTGCAAGAGTCAGCGCCAGATGTCTTGATGGCTGTGCCCGTCATGGCGGAGCATATCCCCCAGCAGGTGGAGCGCATGAAGCCTCAAGAGCTTTCAAACAGCCTGTGGGCGGTCGCACGTCTGCAAGAATCAGCGCCAGATGTCTTGCTGGCCGTGCCCGCCATTGCAGAGCGAGTACCGCAGAAGGTGGAAAGCATGAATCGTCAAGAGCTTTCCAACTGCTTGTGGGCGGCCGCGAAGCTGCAAGAGGCAGCCCCTGCTGTCCTGACGGCTGTGCCAGGCATCGCAGAGCGCATACCACACAAAATTGAGAGCATGCTTCCTCAGCACTTGTCGAATTGCTTGTGGGCTGCGGCAAATCTGCAAGATGCAGCGCCTGCTGTGCTAATGGCTATTCCTGCCATCGCGAAGCGCATACCGCAGAAGGTGGCGAGCATGACTCCTCAAGCCTTGTCGAACATTTTGTGGGCTGCAGCGAAACTGGAAGAGTCAGCACCAGATGTCCTGATGGCAGTGCCCACAGTTGCAGAGCGCATACCGCAGCAGGTGAAGAGCATGATTCCCCAAGCCTTGTCGAACTGCTTGTGGGCAGCAGCGCAGCTGCAAGAGGCAGCGCCTGTTGTCCTGGTGGCTGTGCCTGCCATCGCGGAGCGCATACTGCAGTCTGCGGAGAGCATGAATCCTCAGGAGCTGTCCAACAGTCTGTGGGCCATCGCAAAACTTCAAGACATCGTGCCAGATGTGTTGACTCTGCTGCCGGTCATCACGCCCCAGGTCTCAAAGAAGGTCGCTGACATGGCCGTCCCAGGATTGCGGATGTCTTCATGGGCCGCAACTCAGCTGGGCGAGACGCATCTCGAGGCAAAGTTGACCGCAGAGCTTGCACGGCGCAGAGCCTGAACTTGGACTTTGCAGCTCCACATGATCTGGCCGAACCCAGTTAGTTTGTTGTGTGCGGTGTTTTTTGGGACTCTACAAATGCAACCCCTAAGCCCAGAACTCACGAAGTGCTGCTGCAACGTATGCCCTTCCTTGCTTCACAGGCGACGCAGCCGCCCCTCCCACAGCCACCACCACCCTGGCACCGGCTCGGCACAGTGCCCTCCAGGAGCACGGCCTGGGCTCTGTGTGCAGGGAGGTGGTGGGCTCTGGGAGCAGCGGCTCCTGCGCACCTCGTTTTTGCTGAATCGACGTTGGCCCCTGCTTTCGGTTCCCCGAAAGTAGGAGCCGGGCTGGACGAGAACTTTGAAAAGTGCGGTTTCAGAAGCATTGTTAGGCTTAGGGTTTAGGTTGGGATGTTCCCCCTATTACAACCCCTATTACGGACTGTTCGTACACCGGGAACATCCCCAGGTTTAGAGGGCTTAGGATAGCCCATCTTTTAACGATCAATGACATCTCCTTCAAGCTTCTACCTGTTCAAGTCTCCACATCCGCTGTCTCCGAACACGGGGCTCGTCCCCAATGCACCCCCAACACCTAACCTCTAAGCCCGAAAACCCAAGCGCAAGCAGGCGCCCTGCAGCTGCGGCCTAGCCCAGACACCCACCCCAAGCCCATGAACCCCTAACCCCCCCAAACCCTAAACCCCTCACCGCCCCTAAACCCTAAATTCCTAAACCCTATGATAAACCCTGAACCCTGAAAGCTCAACCCCTATAAGCCCCAGACCCCCAGTTTCCTCAAAATCGCCCAAGCCCTCTCCAAGAATCCTAAACCCTGTGTCCTCAACCCCCCCCCCCCCCCCAAAAAAAAAGAAAAAAACCTCCGAAGCCACCTTGGCCTGGCCCAGAAAGCGCCAAAGAAGCGTGGGGCAACTTCGTCAGAAACGAGCCCCGCCCTCGGAGAATGGTCTAGGGCTTCGGTTTAGGGTTCAGGGGTTTAGGGTTCAAGGCTTAGGGCTAAGGGTTCAGGACAACAAGAGTCTCTTCAGGGAAAAGGCAGACAGATAGGATGGTCGCTTGTGAGAGTCCTGAACAAGACAGCCAGCCAATAACCGCGCAACCCAAACCTCTCAAACCCCAAACTCTGAAACCCTCGAACCTCTAAGCCTCTAAATCTTTCAAAGCCACAAACCCTGAAGCCTCTAAACCTCTCAAAACCCCAAACCCTGAAACCTGAACTTGAAAGCCTTTGGGGTTTAGGGATTTGGGTTTTTCGGATTTAGGTATTTAGGCTTTTTAGAGGTTTAGGGGTTTAGGGCTTGGTGTAGCTGGGGAGCGACAAAAACATCTGGCCTGGGTTTATGGGGTTTCGTGGGTTTTATAGGGTTTAGGGCTTGAAGGTTTATTGTGGAAAGGGTTCAGCGTTTGCAAGGTTTAGGGTTTATAGGTTGAAAGGCTTCAACCTTAACCTAAAACCTAAACCCATAACCCGCTAAACCCTAAACCCTAAACCCTAAATCCTAAACCCTAAGCCCTAAACCTTCAACGGGTTGGCCACAACCCTTCCAGACCCAAGCCTAGAGGTTGTACTCGGTCCTCCAGGAGGGGGCGGAAGGCCTCCGCTCGGTTGTGTCGCTGTTATTGTTCTTGATGTTATTCTATTGTCTTTTTTTGGTAGGGGGTGGGGGTTGAGGGGTTTCTCGAGGGTTTAGGGTTTAGGGGTTTTAGGGTTTAGGGGTTTAGGAGTTTGGGGGTTTAGGGGTTTAGGGTTTCGGGGGTTTAGGGGTTTAGGGGGTTTAGGGTTTAGGGTACAGCCCAAGTGTGCACGTTCGAGAACCCCAACCCGACATCCCTCAAAGCCTCACACGCCCAAACATGGCGAAGCCTTTGCAGGCCCCTTGTGGACACTGGGAACTGCACCAAAGCTCTCCAGACACAGAACCTAGACCCCAAACCTAAGACCCTACACCCTAAACCAAATAGCCTAAAACCCAAACCTGCATGAGCCAGAGTCAAACAAGAAAATGCAGTTGCACACCCTGGCCCCAGCCAAGCCCTTCGCAGGAGCCGCAGTGAAGGTTCGCTACGCCGGGGATCAGCTCACGTCATTCGAGTTAAGCAGCCTCCTCAGGGGGGTGCCTGGGCCGGGCCTTGCTATGGTGGGGCTTCGGGGCGCCAGAGTCGGGGGCTACTGAGGGAGGGTGTGCCAGGGTCAGATGCTTGCATTCTTTGAGGTCTGCGGGGTTTTTGGATGAGGCGTTTTGGTCTCTGCAGATTATTTTGGCAACCGGCTCGGGTAGGTTGCGAAACATGGCCGAAAGGTTACGGCCCTTGAAACCGAGCAACCTGGCCTATCTGGTCCTTTACATTCCTTAGTATGGGCCCTTGGGGTTTATGGGGTATATATGTATGTATATATATATATATAATATAAGTTCCCCTTTAAGGGCCCATATTCAGGGATCATGCAACAAAACCTAAGAGCTTGGCTTAGGGTTTAGGGTGTTGAAGGTGTGGCCGGTGCTCTGAGGTGGGTGTAGGGAACAGCGGCTTCAGGGAACATGGGCCAGCTTTTCCGATCCTCCAGCCTTAATCCCTAGGCCATGAACCTTTGGGCAAACCTTTGGGGCGTACAGGCTTGTGACGGTTGTGTGTCCCTAAGCGTGGGCCCTAACCCTAAACCCTAAACCCTAAACCCCAAACCCTAAACCCTGAACCCTGAACCCTAAACCCTGGTCAAAACCCTAAACCCTAAAACCCGAAAACCCTAAAACCCTAAAACCCTAAAACCCTAAAACCCTGAAACCCTAAAACCCTAAACCCTAAACCCTAAACCTCAACCCTAAACCCTGAACCCTAAACCCGAAACCCTAAACCCTAAACCCTAACCCCTAAACGCTGAACCCTAAACCCTAAACCCCACACCCTAAACCCTAAACCCTGTACTCTCCGCCCCAGTTCAAACGCTGCAAAACGACTTGCTTTTTGCGATCGGCTCAGTGCTGGTGGTGCTTCTCTGCGCCTTGGGCATACTTTGAGCTTTAGGGTTTAGGGTTTAGGGTTTAGGGTTTGGGGTTTAGGGCTTAAGGTTCAGGTTTAGGGTTTAGGGCATAGGGCTGGAGTTGACCAAAGAGTTCTTCTCGGCGCGAAGCTTCTGTAGGTAGTCCTTTCAATCAGGGTCCCTTTTGGGGTCCTATGTAGAGTATGGATCCCTTGAAGTAAGGACCCCAAAAGGGACCATACTTTGGAGAACTACCCATGTAGGTATCCGGTGGGTTTTGAATTAAGGCTTTGCAAGGGGAACTCCAGGGAACGTTGTAATGACCATCTTGGGAGTGGGTAGCTTGATCAGCCGTCATTTTGGGCCCCTAAACTCTAAACCCAAAGCCCAAGACCTAAACCCTAAACCCTCGACGCTAAGCCCTAAACCTTAAACCCTAGCCCGAAACCCTAAACCCCAAACCCCAAACAAGCATGATCGGGACTGAAAACCAGACGCCCCTGGCACGAACTGCGCCGCTTTGATTGAAGATGGTCTGGAACCCCCGAGGCCCCTAAACCCTGACCCACCCTCCCCCCCCCCCCGCCCCTGCCCCCCCCCCCCCCCCCCCGCCCTGCCCCCCCCCCCTCCCCCCCCCCCTGGCCCCCCCCCCCCCTCCCACCCCACCCCAAGCATCTCTCTGGATGAATTTTGGAAGACATGTTCTGAAGTCCTTTGAGCCCTGCCGCCTATACTCTCAAGCCTACGACCGTCTGGCACACCTGAACCTCCAAAGCGCTTAAGGAGCCCAATTCCTGCATCCTGTAGTCCCCAAAGTCCTAAACTCTTCACCACCTCAAGGCCTCTACCTTAACAATATATACCCCTGCAATCCCTGAACTCTTAACCTCAAACCTGAACCCTAAACCTCTTAACCTTAAACCCTGAACCGTAAACCCTGAATCCTAAATCCTAACCCTTCGGCCCTAAGCCCGCAACTAAACCTTAACCCTAAACCCTAAACCCTAAACCCTCAACCCTCAACCCTCAACCCTCAACCCTCAACCCTCAACCCTCAACCCTCAACCCTACACCCTACACCCTGAAGCCCTAGTCACTGAAAGCCCTGCGCCAGGTCTATGGTTCCAGCTCCAGGCAATCTGGATGAGTCTGGCGAGCACGGGGGCCCAAGCAAGGAGGTCTCATAGGAGGCATTGTTTCAGGGTTTCAGGTGTTTCAGGGTTTCAGGGTTTTCAGGGGTTTCAGGGGTTTCAGGGTTTCAGGGTGTCAGGGTTTCAGAGTTTCAGGGGTTTCAGGGTTTTCAGGGTTTTGAGGGTTTCAGGGTTTCAGAGTTTCAGGGTTTCAGAGTTTCAGGGTTTCAGGGTTTCAGGGTTTTAGGGTTTCAGGGTTGAGGCTTTAGGGTTTTAGGGTTTGGTTTAGAGGTTTCCGGGACGCAGGATCTGTGGTTCGGCTTAGAGGTCGTGAAAGGCCCACTGCTTCACGTCCTTCGAACCTTCGCCTGGTCCTAAACACTAAACACTACACCCTAAATCCTAAACACCCTAAATCCTAAACACCCTGAACCCTAAACACCCTAAACACCCTGCACGCCCTAAACACCCTAAACCCTAAAACCCTACACGCTAAGCCCCTAAAACCCCCCAAAATCACCCAACACCCTAAACCCTAAAACCCCTACACTCTAAACCCCTAATCCCCTACGCCCTAAACCCTCAACCCCCAAACCCTACAGTCTAAACCGTAAAAAACCCTGCACTCAAAACCCTAAACTCCAAAACCTTACACTCTAAACCCCAAAACCCCTACGCTCTAAACCCCTAAACCCCTACACCCCCTAAAGCCCCAAACCCCTACACTCTAAACCTTAAACCATAAAAACTCTACACTTTAAACCCCACAAACCCCCCCCAAATTCGCCCAAGTCCGAAACCGCAGCCGAGGCCTTTTTGTGATTTTAACGGCGCTGCCGATCGCCTATGTGGGGCACCTCAGCTTCTTCCCCTAAACCCTAAACCCTAAAGCCTAAACCCTAAACCCTAAACCCTAAACCCGAAACCCTAAACCCTAAACCCTAAACCCTAAACCCTAAACCCTAAACCCCAAACCCTAAACCCTAAACCCTAAACCCTAAACCCTGAGCCCTAAGCCCTGAACCCTGAACCCTGAACCCTAAACCCTAGCTGCTACAAAAGGCAAAAGGGGCCCATTGCTGTAGCCCTGGCACGACCGAATCCCTTAACCCTACGACCTTGGAGCAGCCGACCCAGGAGCTCCCAAAGCCGGAATCGCAGCGTAGTTTAGGGTTTAGGGTTTAGGGTTTAGGGTTTAGGATTTAGGGTTTAGGGTTTAGGGCTAGCGAAGGAGTCCCGCAGTAGAAGGAAGCTTACACGAACTCCGACATCAGAAGAAGAAGGCCTTCCAACCAACCCCTAAAGCCCTAAAGCCCTAAAGCCTAAACCCTAAACCCTAAACCCTAAACCCTAAACCCTAACCCCTAAACCCTTGGTATTCTGCACCAGCTGCTACCAGACTTCTCAGAGAGATAGGAGCCCGAGATCTCCAATGCGGCAGGAGATCTTCCCCTCTATCACTTTTGGCCTGGACACTTCCCATCACGAGCACCCTCACTGAACCCCCCGCCCCAAAACCCTAAAACCTATAACCCTAAACCCTAAACCCTAAACCCTAAACCCTAAACCCTAAACCCTAAACCCTAAACCCTAAACCCTAAACCCTAAACCCTAAACCCTAAACCCTAAACCCTCTTCTTCTCTAGTTCTTTCAAACCCTTTGAAGGAAGGAGCAGTTTTCACAGAGGCCCTGAGTCTCCCTTTCGAACCTTTTTAAGCCTCAACCTTCCTTCCGAGAGGTGCTAACGCCAGCCGAGAAGTTAACAGCCGCGCCCTTGGATGAGCCCCCGGAGCCACCTCTTAAGGGAAGCGCCTTCAGCTGAGGGTAGGGCTTCGGGATTCGAATCTTGCGTGCTTCGGCGTAAGCATCCTCTGGAGTATGATGTTCTTAGCTGTTATCCAGGTAGGCCCTTGGGAAATTTTTGATTTCCCTGATTGGGTGTTTAAGTGGGACATATTGAGGACTATTTCCAGAAACATTTCTTAGCGCCAACCTGGTCATTTGTTCATTCTATCGGTCCCAAAGATGCCAGATGAGAGAGAGCTGTAGCCCGACATCTTATGAAGGGTAGGCAGACGCTCGTCTTGCTCTGTGGTGGCGAGTGAAAGCCACTGATGTGTCTACTCCCCACAACGAGTGCTGCGCACCTGATATGCCAAGCGGCGAAGGCGCACCCTAATTGCAGGCTCGACCGCAGCCGCCCTAAACTCCTCAACCTCCAACCTTCGACCCATGAACCCCGAACCCTAAACCCTAAAACTCCAAACCCTAAACCCCAAACCCTAAACCCCGAGCCCTGAACTCTAGCTTTTCCCAAGCCCTAAACCCCAAGCCCAAAATTCAACCCATTCCCTCCTGGCTGCACTTCCTCGGCCGCTCCAAGATAACTTCCTTTTTGGCCTTGTTTCTTGTGGTCGGTATCGGCCCGGTGCCCCAGTTCCGGGGCTTCGGATTTTGGGGTTTGGGGTTAAGGGTTTGGGTTTGGGTCATCAGGGTTTTAGGGGTGCTTTGGGACTTGGCTCCAAAACTCCGAAAGCTCTGTGCCTGGAACCGTGCGAAAGCAATGGTGCCTCTATGGGTTGAGTGGAAGGGATTGAGGTGGTTTTCAAGCCTGGCTTTCGGATGCATGGAAACGCATGTTCTCCTGCTGGCCATTTTTTTTGGGGGGGGGGAATTGAGCATAAACCTCAAACCTGCGGAAGTAGGTCGGTTTGAATCAAAATCATGGCGCGGCTTGTGCAGGACTTGTCCTTCTTCTGTAGCTAGGCCGCTGCGCTTGAGGGGAGGTCTTTATGGGTGTAGGAGGGTGTACCGTGTAGGGTTTAGGAGAGGTTTTTGCTGAGAGAGGGCTTTAAGCCCTAAACCCAAACCCCAAACCCTAAACTCGAAACCCTAAACCCTCAGCCCCACTCCCCTAAACCCCAAACCCTCTGAGGTTCAGGCGTTTCGGGTTGTCTGGTGTCGATTAGCTTCGAGCTTGCGGGAGGGCCTCGCGATTCCAAAGGGCCATACATCAAACGCGAAGACCTCCTTTTTCAACTACCCTTAGGCCCTCAAAAACTCCTTACGCGGCATCCTGTATGCCCTAGATAAACCTTACAATCCCCCAAAATAGGTTTAGGGATAGCATCCCTATTCCCCTACATGCACCTTGGAGAAAACCCTCCGCACAATCTTCGGAGTCTTGAGATGTTCGGGAACCTTTCGCGTTGAGGGTACAGGGGTGTAGGGTTATAGGGTTTAGGTCTTAGGGTTGAGGGTTGGGGGTTCCAGGTTTCGGGGAACCTCTCTGACCCCGCCCTGAGGCAGCGACACGGTCTTTGTCTTCGGAGACTTCTGGGAGCAGGCACGCTTCTCACTCTCAGGTTTGCGGTTTGGGAGTTTGGGAGCTTAGGAGCTCAGGAGTTTGAGTTTAGGGTTTAGGGTTTAGGGTTTGGGGTTTAGGGTTTGGGGTTTGGGGTTTAGGGTTTAGGGTTTGGGGTTTGGGGTTTGGGGTTTGGGGTTTAGGGTTCATGCCGGGGAGTCTTGTGCGCGGCTTACAGCTACGCATGCTCAATGACGCAACTTTCGGAACACGTCGACTGGCACACGTTCGTGGGCACCCAGGATCAAGTTCAGGGAAAACCAGGACGATGGCATGCTGTCTTCCGGTGTTTGGGCTTTAGGGTTTAGGGTGAGCTCCTGTCATGTAGCAGTTCCGAGGAACTCCGCAAGGTTGCTTGAGGCCTCTAGATCCCTTTCGCAAAAGTGACGTGCGCTCACATAGATGCGCACCCTCGAGAGACCCGAACATCTAAACCCTAAACCCTGAACCTGAACCCAAAACCTCAAACCCTAAACCCTAAACCCTAAACCCTAAACCCCAAACCCTAAACCCTAAACCCTACACCCCAAACCCTAAACCCCAGACCCTAAACCCTATACAGAGCTGCGAAGCCCCTGAAGGAGAGGCACCGGAAGCTGGACCCGCACAAGCGTTTGCAAGGGTCTCTGGGGCTCCTTCCTTGCACCTTACAGCCTGAATCCTAAACCCTAAACCCTAAACCCTAAACCCCAAACCCTAAACCCTAAACCTAAACCCTAAACCCTAAACCCGAAACCCGAAACCCTAGACCCTAAACCCCAGACCCCAAATTTAGGAGCCTCCGGCTCAGGCCGCCGACCCAAGAGGCCCGAAACCTCGCAACCCTCAAAGCCGGAAGTTGTTGTTACCCTAAAGCCTAAACGCTAAACTCTACAGCCTAAACCCTAAACCACTAAACCAGGGTTCGGGGGCTTGAGGACGTGTTGTGGGAATGGGGGGGTAGAGGCTTCGAACTCTTGGAGTGGTTGGCGTAAGGTTGCAAGCTGGGCAACCCCCCTGTGAAATCTCAACCCTAGTCCCTAAATCCCAAACCCTCTACCCAGAACCCTAATCCCTCAACCTTCACTCCAGGTTTCTTGTGTTTAGGGCGTTAAACCCTAAACCCTAAACCCTAAACCCTAGACCCTAAACCCTAAACCCTAAACCCTAGACCCTAAACCCTAAACCCTAAACCCTAAACCCTAAACCCTCAACCCTAAACCCTAAACCCTAAACCCTAAACCCTACCCGCCCGGATCCCCGTTGAAAACGTTTGCGGGAGTCAGGGGTGCGAGGGTGCTGGGCAGCTTCCCGTGGTCAGGCGCTTTATAGCGACGTTTCGTCTGGCTTGGGGTTTGTCGTCGTTGTTGCTCCTACCCCCCTAAACCCTAAACCCTAAACCCTAAACCCTAAACCCTAAACCCTAAACCTAAACCCTAAACCCTAAACCCTAAACCCTAAACCCTAAACCCTAAACCCTAAACCCTAAACCCTAAACCCTAACCCTAAACCCTAAACCCTACCCGCCCGGATCCCCGTTGAAAACGTTTGCGGGAGTCAGGGGTGCGAGGGTGCTGGGCAGCTTCCCGTGGTCAGGCGTTTTATAGCGACGTTTCGTCTGGCTTGGGGTTTGTCGTCGTTGTTGCTCCTACCCCCCTAAACCCTAAACCCTAAACCCTAAACCCTAAACCCTAAACCCTAAACCTTAAACCCTAAACCCTAAACCCTAAACCCTAAACCCTAAACCCTAAAACTTAAACCCTAAACTCTAAACCTAAACCCCATGGCCTTACATGTCGATGCAACATGGAGGTGTAGGCCGTGGCAGAGGACATCACCCTAAGTCCCTGAATCTCTACACCCCTCCGCCCATGAACCCTGAAACCCTGAACCTAAACCACAACCCCGAAATCCTAAACCCTAAACCCTAAACACTAAACCCTAAACCCTAGACCCTAAACCCTAAACCCTGAACCCCCAAACCTCGAAATAGGCCCCAGGCCCTCAGAATCCCAAGCAGGACGACCGCGTGGCAGTGGTGCTTGTAGAAGCGGGCAAAAATTGCCCGGCGCCCAAGTCCCCTCAACCCCTAAACCTTAAACTGCAAACCCTAAGCCCTAAGCCCGAAGCCCCAAGCCCTAAACCCTAAACCCCAACCTTTCTTGGGGCACAGGGCTTGATTTGAGTCTCTTTGAGCTTAGGACCTCCCTGAATTTCTGCAAAAGACCAACAGCATCCCCACAGAAGCGACCCTTAATCCTATGCCCTTGTAATATAACCGCTATGTATATATGCCTTACATCGGGCCCTCGCTGGGCCTTGAACCCTGAACCCTGAACCCGAAACCCGAAGCAGGGCTTCGGTTTCCAGGGCGGAGCTCTAGGCTGTGGCTTGCTGCTGAGACGAGGGCTGTTTGGGGTCTTTTGGGGGTGGCTCTGCCTTCAGCATCTCATGGTTTAGAGTTTCGGGTTTTAGGGTTTTAGTAGGTTTTAGTAGTTTTTTTTTGTTTTGTTTTTTATGTTTTTAGGTTTTAAGGGTTGAGGGCTTTGCGTTTAGGGTTGAGGGTTTTTAAAGCCCGAAAAGCCCTCAACCCCTGAAAGTAAGTGCGAGAAAAAGGCTTCGCGACCTCTCTGACCACGGCCGCCAGCTTTTTGGCGAACCTGGCTTCCGTCCGGGATCCCAGTGTGCAGGGGCGTTTTTTGGGGTTTGCAGTGGTTTCGGCTGGGTTGCTGCTAAGGAACTTATGCTCGGTTACCATGTGCAAAGCAGGTATATTGCTTATACTGGGTATTCTGGTAGCTTATCTTAAGTTCCGGAACATTGGGGCTTCGGGTTTTGGGAGACATTAGGGAGGTTTCAGGGCTGCAGGTTATGTTGGGTTATGTTGTGCACAGACTCTACTCCTTAAGCCCTGTATAGAAGGATCACCCTCTCGCCCGCCTAAGCTCCACCACCTAAACCCGTAAACCCTCAAACCTGAGCCTGAAGGCCTAAACCCCCAAACAGGGTTGTTGCTGCGGAGCTTCAAGTAGGTTTCCATCATATATTGGTACAGTATAGTCAATACAGTATACTGTGCTGGTAGCTTAACTTAATCTAACGGCCTGAACAGCAACCCTCAACCCTCAACCCTCAACCCTCAACCCTCAACCCTCAACCCCTGAACCCCTGAACCCCTGAACCCCTGAACCCCTGAACCCCTGAACCCATGAACCCCTGAACCCCTGAACCCCTGAACCCCTGAAACCCTTAAACCTAAACCCGTTAACCCGCCCGCAGCGGAGCTGGTGCGCCCAGCTCGCACAGAGGCGCGAACAGCCCACGCCCTGGCCGCCGGGCCGGGTGAAGTTAGGCCGAAGCAGCGGCCAGTGCTGCGGCCCGCACTACGTCCAGCGCAGAGGCCACAGAGTGCCGGTGTTCCGGACGCTGCCAAAGGCAAGGACAAGAGCAAGGGCAAAAGCCTAAACCCTAAACCCTAAACCCTACACCCTAAACCCTAAACCCTAAACCCTAAACCCTAAACCCTAAACCCTAAACCCTAAACCCTAAACCCTAAACCCTAAACCCTAAACCCTAAACCCTAACAGTATTGCCGAGAATCCTCTGAACAAGGTCCTACAGCCACTCCGGGAGTTCGGCTTCTTCATGGGCCAGGGTGCCCAGTGCTGGGGTTTACAAGCTTAGGGGCTTTCGGGTTTGGGGGTTCAGGGCTTGGGGGCTTAGGTTTTAGGGGTTTAGGGGTCGTTTGGAGTTTGGGGTAGAGGGTTTAAGAGTCTTGCGGTTGAAGGGTCAAGGTATGGCGTGGGTTAGCCGTGGGCTTGTGCCCCAGGTTGCGCAGTTTTGAAGGAGTTGCAGGTGTCCAAGGTTCTCTGAGTGTCTTCGTTCGCGACTACGAAAGGTCGAGCAAGGTGAAGCAATGCGGAGTTGCCACCGGTTGTCGAGACCTACACCCCAAGCCTGAAGCCCTAAAGGAGCCGCAGTCCCGCTTCTTCAACCTCCGAAACCTCAAAATACCGAAACTTCAGTAAACCTGCCTGTACCAGACAGTTAGTCCCTCCTACCCTCAACCCCCGAACACCCCCAAGCCCTACACCCCAAACCCCGAAATGCTGGCTTTGCCACAGTTCCACAGCGAACATACTGTGTGGTGCACTTTGAAAGCGAGCCTCCAAACCAGAAAAGACCTCAAACCCTAACCCTAAACCCTACACGCACTACTACTCCCAAGGCCTCTGTGTCCTCTGGGTCTTCGTGCGACGCCCAAAGGGTGACTGAGGGGTTTAAGCGCCCTTGGGTGTCCAGTAGGGTTTAGGGGTTTCAGGCTTAAGGGCTAGGGGTATCGGGTTTAGGACATGGGCAAAGGTTTTCGCCATGCGTCGGAGATTAAAGGTACCCCAGTGTTACGCCTCGGGCTCCCACAGCAGGTGCAAGCAATGCTTGAATGCCAGAGGTAGGATTGCAGAAGAGAGTGCTGGACGAAGAGTTGGTCTGACTGAGTAGCCTGTTTCCGCCTTCAGTTCTCAAGCCGTCATCCATTGCCGCGATCGTGCAAGGCCTCTTGTCCCGATGCCGCTGCGCCGCCCTGCGGCCATTTTTCTGCTTGGTCTGGTGGTGGCATTTCTGTTTCTACTGCTTCGCCCGGGAAGCAGCGGTAGGTCGGTTGGCTTTGCGGGCCGTCCCGGCAGCTTCCCGCTTGTTCCATGCCATTTAGCTTGCAGAGGTTCGCGATCGGAGATCTTGCGTCGGGGACGGAAGGGGCGTAGAGGATCTCCCTCGGGCAAACGCCCTTCCACTCCCAGGGTTCTCACTTCAAAGATCAAGAACACGACCTCGACCGCGGAGCTGCTGTCTCTTGTCGACATGGAGCTGGACGGAAAGGGCTTCAACGAGATCCATCTGACGGCGACCTTCACCCGTGCAGCTTTCTTCAAGAGAAGTCGCAAGCTGTCAGCAGCAGATACCAGGAGCTCCACATGGTCCAGACTGGCGGAGAAGTTGCGTGCTATGCTCGCGAAAGACACGATCGAAGCACGTGCAGCTGCAAACCTGCTGTGGGCGCTTGTTGAAATCTGTCAAGTCGTAGGAGATGACATGGCCGTTGTGGTACCGGCTCTTGCGTGTCGTGTGCAGGACAAAGCAGGAGGCATGAAGCCTCAAGAGCTTTCAAACAGCCTGTGGGCGGCCGCAAATTTGCAAGAGGCAGCGCCAGATGTCTTGTTGGCTGTGCCTGCCATTGCGGAGCGCATGCCACAGAACGTGGAGAGCATGAAGCCTCAAGAGCTTTCTAACAGCCTGTGGGCTTCAGCAAAGCTGCAGAAGGCAGCCCCGGCTGTCATGATGGCTGTGCCTGCCATCGCCGACCTCATACTGCAGAAGGTGGAGAGCATGACCCCTCAGCAGTTGTCGAATTGCTTATGGGCGGCCGCAAATCTGCACGAGGCAGCCCCTGCTGTCCTGACAGCTGTGCCTGCCATCGCCGAGCGCATGCAGGAGAAGGTGGAGAGCATGAAGCCTCAAGAGCTTTCCAACAGCCTGTGGGCTGCAACGAAGCTGCAAGATTTGGTGCCAGATGTTTTGATGGCTGTGCCTGCCATTGCTGAGCACATACCGCAGAAGGTGGAGAGCATGGCTCCACAAGCCTTGTCGAACATTTTGTGGGCCGCGGCAAATCTGCATAGGTCAGCACCCAACGTCTTGATGGCTGTGCCTGCCATTGCGGAGCGCATACCGCAGATGGAGAGCATGAAGCCTCAAGAGCTTTCCAACATCCTGTGGGCTGCAGTGAAGCTGCAAGAGGCAGCACCAAACGTCTTGAGGGCTGTGCCTGCCATTGCTGAGCACATACCGCAGAAGGTGGAGAGCATGGCTCCACAAGCCTTGTCGAACATTTTGTGGGCAGCAGCAAATCTGCATAGGTCAGCACCAAACGTCTTGATGGCTGTGCCTGCCATTGCTGAGCACATACCGCAGAAGGTGGAGAGCATGGCTCCACAAGCCTTGTCGAACATCTTGTGGGCGGCAGCAAATCTGCATAGGTCAGCACCCAACGTCTTGATGGCTGTGCCTGCCATCGCCGAGCGCATACTGCAGAAGGTGGAGAGCTTGAAGCCTCAAGAGCTTTCCAACAGCCTGTGGGCTGCAGCGAAGCTGCAAGAGGCAGCGCCTGCTGTGCTGATGGCTGTGCCTGCCATTGCGCAGCGCATACCGCAGATTGTGGAGGGCATGATTCCGCAAGCCTTGTCGAATAGCCTGTGGGCAGCCGCAAAGCTGCAAGAGGCAGCGCCTGCTGTCCTGGTGGCTGTGCCCGCCATTGCGGGGCGAATGCCACAGAAGGTGGAGAGCATGAAGCTTCAGGAGCTTTCAAGCAGCCTGTGGGCGGCCGCAAACCTGCAAGAGTCAGCACCAGATGTCTTGATGGCTGTGCCCGCCCTGGCGAAGCGCATACCGCAGAAGGTGGAGAGCATGAAGCCACAAGATGTGTCGAACATTCTGTGGGCGGCTGCGTTGTTGCAAGACGCAGCGCCTTCTGTCCTCATGGCCGTGCCGGCCCTTGCGCAGCGCATGCCGCAGGAGGTGGAGGGCATGAAGCCCCGAGAGCTCTCAAGAAGCTTGTGGGCCCTCGCGATTCTTCAGGACTTCGTGCCAGATGTCTCGGCCCTGCTGCCGGGCATCAGTGCCCAGGTCTCAAAGAAGATCGTCAACATGGACATGCCAGAGTTGCGGATGTCATCGTGGGCTGCCACTGAACTGGGCGAGACGGACCTGAAAGCAACAGTGGCCGCAGAGCTTGCACGACGTAACGCCTGAAGGAGAGACACCTCTACGCCTTTTAAATCGGCTGAATATTTCATTTCCAGTCTCGGGTTGCCCTTTTGAACTCAGATCCTGCCGGGCCGCAGGAGCCACCCTTCATGTTGTCCTGTGCTTTCGCCGGCTCAGCACAGTGCCTTTCGGGAGCACGGCCAGGGCTTAACAAAAAAGCATGCAGTGCGAGAAACTACCGAAACCAGAGAAAGGCAGCCGCGAAGGGCGTCATCCAGCAACGTTGACTGCCCAAATCCCAAGCTTTCCAAGGCCTTCCACCCACCAAGAACCAAGAACCTCCAAACCCCAAATCCAAACCCCAAATCCGACAGGGACTTGTGGTAGGGTTGAGAGTTTCGGCTTTGTGGTTCTCATTGGAAAATGAGAACTCGTCTTCGCGATGTGTTGTGCAGACATGCAAGATCTTACCAAGGTGCTCATCGCAGTCTACCTCCCGCAGGGGCCTTGAACTCCCGGTGTGGGGCAGAGGTTTAGGAACTGCTACAGCTGGGCTCCAAGGGCTGGCTTGGGGTCCAGCTTAGGTTTCTTATTCTTCTGTTCTTGGTAAGGAATTCTGGGTTTTGGAGTACTATACTTTAATACTTTTTTGGTTCTGGGTTCCAATTATAGCTACTCATACCTAAAGGTACATACGTTTCCAGGGTCTACTCCAAAGTAGGGAATTAGGACCTTACATCCCCCATATTGCCCTGTAATGGATGATGATTATATGTATACAGGTACCTGGCTTCCGAATGTCCTGCAAAGAGCCAATAAGCTTAGTCAGGTTTGGTTTAGGGTTTAGGGTTTACTGTTTAGAGTTTGCTCTAAACCCTATACCCATGAAACCCTATGATTTCGTGTTTAAGCCGAGTACACGGGCAATCTGGTAACAACACAGTGTTCATGTTGGTTGAGGTGCTTCATATGAGGGGAGAGGGGGGTTACCCGTACCCTAAACCCTAAACCCTAAGCCCTAAGCCCTAAACCCTAAACCCTAAAACCAAAACCCTAAGCCCTAAGCCCTAAGCCCTAAGCCCTAAACCCTAAACCCTAAACCCTAAAACCAAAACCCTAAGCCCTAAACCCTAAACCCTAAACCCTAAATCCTAAACCCCAAACCCTAAACCCCACCCAGGGAAGCCCTTCGCACTGAGAGGCCCATGCTGGTTCTTCAAGCCAGGAGTCGGCAGGCCAAGGCCTCTCGCTTACTTAGGGTTTAGGGTTTAGGGTTTAGGGTTCAGGGTTTAGGGTTTAGGGTTTAGGGTTTAGGGACAACAGACTGATGTCAGAGGAAGTTGCACCTCCCTAAACCCTAACAGCCAAACCCTAAACCCTAGACCCTAAGCCCTTAGTCATTTCCAGCTTGGCTGGGCTCCGGGTGGAGCAACATTATAGTTTAGCTGGGATTGCTGCTCAGGACCTTCCATCAAGTTTCCATAGTATGGGAATATGTTGCAAAATCTTAGGGTATGGGCGCTTAAAAGGGGACCTTATACACCCCTTATATACCCTCCACAACCCCAGGGCCAAGAACTAGGCGGTAAGGGATCATATTCAGGGCCCATGCAACAACCCTTAGACAAGCGTTATGCTTGCCCAATTAGGGTGACTTAGCTTCAGTTCCGCAAACCCCCCGGCCCCTAAACTCTAAACCCTAAACCCTAAACCCTAAACCCTAAACCCCAAACCCTAAACCCTAAACCCTAAACCCTAAACCATGGCTTCTAATTGGAGTTCAGGAGGATGCCAAAGCAGCGAGACGAGAGGCGCGAGGGATCTGGGAGCCGTGGGCGTTTAGGGCTTTATGGCTTCGCCTGTGGCGGTTGAGGGGTTTAGGGTTTGAGGGATGTAGGGGCGTAGGGGTTTAGGAGCCTAAGGGGGGTAGGGCTCATTTAGCAAATTCGTGCGCCTTCTGCCTTTTCTTCGCGCTTTCTGTCGCGCTTCTGATTCTAGTTCTTCAGGTTCTCTTGGCCAGAGACGCGTAGGACGAGCTTAGAGAGGAATCTGCGCGAGACTAACCCCAAACTCAAAACTAAAATCCCTAAACCCTAAACCTTGGACCCTAAACCCTAAACCCCACACGGCCCCAAAAAGAAGCTCCTTGTGATGGCCTGGAGTCCTGAAGCAGGATGGCTTTCAGACATCCCCCTCCCCAAACGTTTGCGATCTAGGTCGTGCAGTTTAGCCTTTATCGGGTTTCGGGAACACCTTTTGCAAGCCCCTGTCTTAATGCCTGTATTTCTAGTTCCACGCGCCCGGCATGGAGGTGCATCCGGGCTCGATGTCGGCCATCGTCCCCGTGATGGCCTTACAGCGGAGGGGACATTTTCCAACAGCAGCCTGCCAAACTCTGCACCCAAAACACGCATCCCAAAACCCATGCACCCTGAACCCTCAACTTAAAACCTAGACTCTACAACACGCGCTCCCGAGCCCTAAAGACTTCTACACATTCAACAGTAAACCGTATGTACATGTTGGTCGTGCTGCATTTAGGTCCTCCACATCGACACTTTGTTTTCTAAGTACCAGTAGGAGCCCCCCTCATGAGAAGTATCTCCCCAAAAAGCAAAGGGTTTGAGAACAACCCTAAACCCTAAACCCTAAACCCTAAACCCTAAACCCTAAACCCTAAACCCTAAACCCTAAACCCTAAACCCTAAACCCTAAACCCTAAACCCTAAACCCAAAACCCTAAACCCTAAACCCTAACCCCTAAACCTAAACCCTAAACCCTAAACCCTAAACCCTAAACCCTAAACCCTAAACCCTAAACCCTAAACCCTAAACCCTAAACCCTAAACCCTAAACCCTAAACCCTAAACCCTAAACCCTGCCCTATCGGTGGCCGAGGCCGGGGAGGCCGCACCTCAGGTGCCTCGCGCGCAGTCAGAAATACCGGGGTTTTATGGGAGCTTGGGGTTTAGGGTTTCGGGGTTAGGGTTTAGGGGTTGGGGGTTGGGGGTTTAGGGGTTGGGGGTTTAGGGGTTTTTGGGGGGCTTCGGGTGGAGGGGTTTGGGGGCTAGGGTTGGCTGCTCTAAGGCTTAGTGTTGGCGCTTTCGGGCTTGGGGGGGTCTCAGCAGCTTGGGGTTTAGGGCTCAGGCTGGTGTTGGGAGGGCTCAGGGTTGAACGGATTGCGGGCTTTTCCTGGCTCGAGGGTTCAGTGGAGGATTTTGGGTTTTGAGGCTGAACCCCAAACCCTTAGGGTTTCAGGTCTGGGTAGACCTTGTGCCTAGACCCTAATTAAGCCTCAAACCCTGGGCGCGGGGCTTGACTGCCTCTTGAGGCCACCACGCAGACCTTGCCAGAGACGGGATGTCCCAGGCGTGTTAGCAGAGAATCCAGGGCCCCAAGCCCTAAACCCTAAACCCTGAACCTCATTTTAGGCAAGGCTCTTTGGCATCGGATGAGTCTGAAGCTTTTCAGTCGGGTGAGTTTCCTCCAATGCGGGGGTTTCCGATAAACAGGGACCCCTAAAATTAGACCCCCGGAAAGCAAGATTCCCTGTGTAACAAGGACCCCAAGAAGGTACTCCTAATTTCGGACACACCCATGTGAGGCAGGGTCTTTGGTGAGTGTGTATTGGCTTCCTTCAAAAAGATCGATGGGTCTAGTTCTTGGGCATCCTTTCATGAGGATCCTACCTCATATGCCCATTCCATAGCTACACACCTCAAAAAGAAGCCTAAACCCTAAACCCTAAACCCCAAACCCTAAACCCTAAACCCTAAACCCTAAACCTTAAACCCTAAACCCTAAACCCTAAACCCTAAACCCCGGGTAGTCTGCCAAGGGGTTCCCCGTTTGAAGCTGTCCTCAATCATGAGAGTTAAGGCCCGGGATGCGCTCCAACTCCGGGGGGCCTTGGTTCTCTTAGAGCCCTAGACCCTAAACCCCAAACCCTAAACCCTAAGCCCTAAACCCCAAACCCTAAGCCCTAAGCCCTAAGCCCGAAGCCCTAAGCCCTAAGCCCTAAGCCCTAAGCCCGAAGCCCTAAGCCCTAAGCCCTAAGCCCGAAGCCCTAAGCCCTAAGCCCTAAACCAATAAACCCTAACCCTTTTGTTGTCATTACCTTGTTGGGAGGTTTGTTTTTGTTCCTGAGGCCTCTGCTGAATACCCTAAAAAAAATAGAGGTGGGCACTCCGGGCCCCCTACACCCCCACACCTATATCCCCCTTGGGAGTTTTTTTTTGAAATAAATTTTTGTTCATACAAAACCCCCAGAGGATATTAAAGATAGTATTGCTGTTAAGGTTCTAAGGGGAGTATAGACACCTGAAACCACCCGAGCCAGGCTCGTCCGTTCCTACCTGCGGGCGCTCGCGACGCGCGTCGCCTTCTGCCCGGGTCTTGGGAAGTCGGTTCGGTTTGGGGCTGCAGGGCTTTCAGGGTGGTTGTATGATACATGAACTACATGAAACTGCCCAGTACTCCAAACCCTAAACCCTAAGCCCCAAGCCCTAAGCCCCAAGCCCTAAGCCCTAGCCCGAAGCCCGAAACCCTAAACCCTAAACCCTAAACCCTAAACCCTAAACCCTAAACCCTAAACCCTAAACCCCTCCGCTGAGCCGAGGCCCTGGGGTGGTTTCGGCGCTGACGGTGCTGCTCGTGGCGCTCTTCACCGTAGGCTCCCTCGGGGAGCTCGGGGCTTCCGAACTCTCGGTTGGCAGTTAGGGGCTTTGGGGTTTAGGGCTTTGGGGTTTAGGGCTTTGGGCTTTAGGGCTTTGGGGTTTAGGGTTACCGGCTTCAGGGTTTAGGGTTTTGGGGTTCAGGGTTCAGGGTTCAAGGTTCAGGGTTCAGGGCTGGTGGGCTAGGGCTCAGGCTGGTTCCCGATGAGCCCGTCGTCGGGAGGGAAGGCATGCGTATTGCAACCGGGTCCTTGTGCCGCAGGCATCAGCTTAGACATCCGGCTGGCCACGGGGGTGCCTGGCCAAGCGTGGTTTGGGGTTGTTTGGGTTTTGGTTTTAGGGTTTTATGGTTTGGGGTTTAGGGTTGGGTTT